AGTTATAAGGGGCTTAAATTCAGACCTCAAGACCATTTCGAGAGGGATTTCACTGAGGATAGACGCTCGACTCCTCGCTCTGCAGATTACCCTTCTCCTGCGAGACCCAGCCTGGCGAGCACGATTGCCTGGCGACTGGTTGGCGAGTTCGTGGCGATCTCTTCAGACGGGTTACAGGGACATCGACACGCCGTGCATCAACAAGTAAGTGTCTTCGTTAGTGGATAAAACTGGTAGTCGCGTATAGCCCGACTTACGAGACGTTACTGTGTGTAGGTTAGACGTTAGTGAGAGTTTGCTTTTTGGCGATTCGAGACAGACATCCACGCAGCTTAGAGGGTGCCTTTAACTCTCAACAACACCCGCGACTGTTACTCTGCTCTGAAGAATCAGTCACATGGAGCAGATAAACTATCCACATCGCCACGCACACACGGGCGATAAGCCGTTCAATTGCTCTGTGTGTGGGAAGGCATTTTCACGGAAATCCCATCTTAACAGACACCATAAAACACACGCGGGCGAGAAGCCGTTCAGTTGCTCTGTGTGTGGGAAGGCATTTTCACGGAAATCCCATCTTAACAGACACCATAAAACACACGCGGGCGAGAAGCCGTTCAATTGCTCTGTGTGTGGGAAGGCATTTTCACGGAAATCCCATCTTAACGATCACCAGAAGACACACACGGGCGAGAAGCCATTCAAATGCTCTGTTTGTGGGAAGGCATTTGCGGAGAAATCACATCTAAACAGACACCAGAAAACACACACGAACGAGAAGTCATTCAATTGCGCTGTGTGCGGGAAGGCATTTTCACGGAAATAAAATCTTCAGTCACAAGAAAACACACTCGGGCTAGAAGCCATTTCATTGCTCTACGAGGGAGAGGACATGTTCACGGCCATCACCCCGAAACAAGCACCAGAAGATCCGCAATGATAGGGAAGTGAAATCAAAATGTAGAATTCAAAGTGCTGCAATGAGTCCTGAAAAAATGCATCTTTCGAACCTATGCAGGTGGATCCTGAAAGATGGCGAGATGTAGTGGATGTAATCAGCGCTGACGACAATTCCTCTTTCGACCCCATGAAGTTGGATCCGGAGAGATGGCTGGATGTAGTGGAGTGGCTGAAGACTCAAACGTATTGAGTACATCTGTTAACTGTTGCCCTGTGTATATTCGTGTCTCTTAGATATATTTTTTCAGTGATTTCCAGTACTCCGAGCTAGAGTGATGTTGTGAATGGTCTATACTGTGTTCAGATGAACATATTCCTTTTAATTTCCAGAAGTGTTCACTTATTTCAGGATGACAACAATGTTATACTTCTATAGATGCGTTGCTTCGTCTGGTGGTTGTGTCATCGGGACTGGTAAATGTTTGGTGTTTATGGTAGAAGGTGCCATGTCATCCTCTCACAGCTAATTGCGTGTTAAAGTTTATTCTAGACTTCGTCACGTTAAGGTGGTGCTTTGTAGTCCTATCGGACTACTTGTTGATGTGGTGTGATGCGCAGTGGTTGTGTGGTGGTTCAATTTCTAATTTTACTCTCGTGGTTAAGTGGTTTTGTTGATTTAAAGTTGGAGAAATACTGTGATCACAACTTTGCTCAATATTTTAAACATGTTCTTTAATTTTTTTATCATTGTGTAATAAATAAATAACTTAAAGTATAGGTTTCAGAGTGTGCGTGGATTGCACGTTCGTTGTTCTAGTGTTTGATGGCTTGGACTTCTGGACGAATGGCTTCAGTCGAAAAGGACGTCAATGGGGAAATCGACGTTCACGTGTTGAATTTTAAGAATATGTTTTAACTGTTGAAATTGGGAAATAATTTGTCTAGTTCCTTCCTGTTTGAGCATGCGTTTTAATAAAGATTTCAATACGAATATTAACGTGAATTTTCTTGCAGATTAATAAGGACCTGAATTGTTTTTAAAGATGACTGATCGTACGTTATTTCAACCATATCCTTCCTTAAAAAAAGCACGGACGAGTAGACATACACACACAAGTGTGCTTATAAACACGACTGTCTATACAGCGGTGTGCATTCACACACGAGTGTGCATGTGTTTCTACGAGTTTTAACTTTAATTTACAGAACAATAAAGACCTGACATGTTAAAGAAGGGAAATAAAAAAAATATAAAAATAAAAGAATTAAAAAATTTTATAATTTTTTTTTCATTTTTTTTTTATTAAATGATAAAAAATAAACATTTTAAACAGAATTAAATTACCTTATATTTTTTTTCCCTTCTACGTGACTTTACCGAAAGAACCAAGAAGATGAAGAAGAAAACAAAACATAATAAAATAATTGTATTATGTTTTATTTTTATCATTTTATTATTTCCCTTCTTCGTGACTTTACCGAAAGAACCAAGAAGGTTAATTTTCTTGCAGAACAATAAAGATGACTAATCGTCCCTTATTGCTACAATATTCATAGCGAACACGTGTGGAGGCGAGTTTCAGGTGAAGCATCTCCAGCACACAAGTTGACCCTCACCTGGCAGCATCGTGGCTGTCCGCTGATCACACTCATGACGTCACACTCATGACGTCACACGCACGAGCTGTAGGGGCGGGGCTCTGTCCGCTCAGTGGCGCTGTTTTCATTAATTTAGCACCACGAGCGGGGAGTCTCATCCCTGTAGTTCCCTGTTGTGGTGCCGCATTCATCACCACGTTGCCCCTCAATGATTTGTACGAAACGATATGAAAATAAGTTGTGTGTTCCACTATACAAACTTACACGAGTACACATATACACTCCCTTGTACACACACCCACACACGAGTTTACATACACCGCGGTGGAGAAAAATGCACGAATGTGCATCCACCCCGCTTTGTACACACAAAGATAAAGATCACCCGTATAGCCTTAACAGACTGTAGGGGCAAGTGCTGTTAGCGAGCACCTATGAAGGCCGCAACGGTACACGAGGGGGTGGGTGGCCAGCACCATGCCCGACCGCCTTTGTCTCCCTCGTGGCAATGTTTACACACCGCACCAGGTACTCATTTGAGGCTGAGTCGACCTAGGGGAGGCCCGGGACCGGTTCAGATAATCGTCACTGGTGTTGGCCGTGAGCGGGAATCGAACCCGTGTAGCCGGGTTCATAGCGCAGCGCGCTAACCGCTACACCACCGCTCCCCACATATACACTCCGTTGTACACACACCCACACACGAGTGGACATACACAGTGCTGTAGGAAAATGCACGAATGTGCATACACACCGCTTTGTACATACACACACGGGTGCACATGCATACACGAGTGCGTACACCCATTTGTGCATTTATACATACGACACATATGTATAGATGCACAAATGAGTGTAAATGCATCGGGGTGTAGATACATGCACAGTGTAATTGCACACAGCAATATACATAAACACATGTGAACGTATACAGCAGTGTGCATGCTCAGGGATTGCGTTTCAACACACACAAATATGCGAGCACACACGATTGTACATACATACACACACGTGTACAGACCCACACGTGTCCATGAACGAGTGTAAATACACACGAGTGCACATGCACACGAATATACCCACAGAGAAGTACACACCCATGTACATACACATGGCTACAGTTCCCTGTTGTGGTGCCGCATTCATTACCACGTTGTCCCTCAATTCTTTATACGACACAATATTATAACAATAATACACGAGTACACGTATACACTCCCTTGTACACACACCCACACACGAGTGGACAAACACAGAGGTGTAGATACATACACGAATGAACATATACACCGCTTTATCTTCTTTGTTCTTTCGGTAAAGTCACGTAGAAGGGAAGTAATAAAATAATAAAAATAAAAAATAATAAAATAATAAAACATAATAAAAAAAATTCTCACGACGTTTCGGCCACAACCCAAGCAGCCGTCGTGAGAATTATTTTATAATGTTTAATTTTTATTATTTTATTACTTCACTTCTACGTGACTTTACCGAAAGAACCAAGAAGATGAATCCCTGCAGTCACGAAATCTTTAAATCGAAATACACCTCTTTGTACATACACACACGGGTGCACATACACACACGGGTGCACATACACACACGAGTATACATACACAGCAGTGTACGTACACAGGGATTGCATTTGACATCACAAATAAATGTGCGAACAAATTAGTGTACATACCTATACACATACATACACGCATGTACATATCCACAAAAACAAGTGTACATGTACACGTGTACGCACATTGCAGAGTGAATATTAGCAAATGAACGCGAATTATGTGGGTCTGGTTGGTTTTGTGTGAGGGTAGGTGAGTGAGTGGGTGGGTGGGTGAGTGGGTAGGTGAGTGAGTGAGTGGGTAAGTGAGTTAGTTAGTGAGTGGGTGGGTGGGTGAGTGAGTGAGTGGGTGAGTGAGTGAGTGGGTGAGTGAGTGGGTGGGTGAGTTAGTGAGTGAGTGGGTGAGTGGGTGAGTGGGTGAGTGAGTGGGTGAGTGAGTGGGTGAGTGGGTAGGTGAGTGAGCGGGTGAGTGGGTGAGTGAGTGGGTGATGAGTGGGTGAGTGAGTGGGGGATGAGTGGGTGAGTAGGTGAATGAGTGGGTGAATGAGTGGGTCATGGGTGAGTGGATGGGTGAGTGATGAGTGAGTGGGTGAGTGAATGGGTGAGTGAGTGGGTGAGTGATGAGTGAGTGGGTGAGTGAATGGGTGAGTGAGTGAGTGGGTGAGTGGGTGGGTGATTGGGTGATGGGTGATGAGTGAGTGTGATGAGTGTGTGTGTGTCTCTCCCCCAGTGCTAGCGATGTTTTTGTGAGTGTGTGTGAGTAACTGAGTGATGAGTGGGTGAGTAGGTGAATGAGTGAGTGGGTGAGTGACTGAGTAATGAGTGGGTGAGTGGATGGTGATGAGTGAGTGTGTGAGTGAGTGTGTGTGTCTCTCCCCCAGTGCTAGCGATGTTTTTGTGAGTGTGTGTGTGTGAGTGACTCCAAACATCACAATTGCTTCAATTATTTAATTCAAACAATGTCAAACTTAATCAGCAACATCAAAACCTTGGTAACATCAGCAAATCTCAATACCCACAACTACCACCACCATCATCACCATCACCGAGATCACAGCTCCTTCCATGTGACAGCTTTTCATTGGCAAAATTGAACTACCAGGTGAGGTAGTCAACATCTCTCAGGGTCTGGGATCGAACCCACGACCTCCTGTGTACCAGGCGATGTGGTCAACATCTCCCAGTGTCTCTGATGGAACCCACGACCTCCTGTGTACCATGCGAGGTAGTCAACATCTCCCAGTGTCTCGGATGGAACCCACGACCTCCTGTGTACCAGGCGAGGTAGTCAACATCTCCCAGTGTCTGGGATGGAACCCACGACCTCCTGTGTACCAGGCGAGGTAGTCAACATCTCCCAGGATCTAGAATTGAACCCACGACCTCCTGTGTACCAGGCGAGGTAGTCAACATCTTCCAGTGTCTAGGATGGAACCCACGACCTCCTGTGTACCAAGCGAGGTAGTCAACATCTCCCAGTGTCTCGGATGGAACCCACGACCTCCTGTGTACCAGGCGATGTGGTCAACATCTCCCAGTGTCTGGGATGGAACCCACGACCTCCTGTGTACCAGGCGAGGTAGTCAACATCTCCCAGTGTCTGGGATGGAACCCACGACCTCCTGTGTACCAGGCGAGGTAGTCAACATCTCCCAGTGTCTGGGATGGAACCCACGACCTCCTGTGTACCAGGCGATGTGGTCAACATCTCCCAGTGTCTCTGATGGAACCCACGACTTCCTGTGTACCAGGCGATGTGGTCAACATCTCCCAGTGTCTCGGATGGAACCCACGACTTCCTGTAGACCAGCGAGGTAGTCAACATCTCACAGGGTCTCTGATGGAACCCACGACCTCCTGTAGAACAGGCGAGGTAGTCAACATCTCCCAGTGTCTCGGATAGAACCCACGACCTCCTGTAGACCAGGCGAGGTAGTCACATCTCCCAGTGTCTCGGATAGAACCCACGACCTCCTGTAGACCAGGCGAGGTAGTCAACATCTCCCAGTGTCTCAGATGGAACCCACGACCTCCTGTAGAACAGCGAGGTAGTCAACATCTCCCAGGGTCTCGGATAGAACCCACGACCTCCTGTGTACCAGGCGAGTAGTCAACATCTCCCAGTGTCTCGGATAGAACCCCACGACCTCCTGTAGACCAGGCGAGGTAGTCAACATCTCCAGTGTCTCAGATGGAACCCACGACCTCCTGTAGAACAGGCGAGGTAGTCAACATCTCCCAGTGTCCTCGGATAGAACCCACGACCTCCTGTGTACCAGGCGAGGTAAGTCAACATCTCCCAGTGTCTGTGATGGAACCCACGACCTCCTGTAGACCAGGCGAGGTAGTCAACATCTCCCAGTGTCTGGATGGAACCCACGACCTCCTGTAGACCAGGCGAGGTAGTCAACATCTCCCAGTGTCTGGATGGAACCCACGACCTCCTGTAGACCAGGCGAGGTAGTCACATCTCACAGGGTCTAGGATGGACCCATGACCTCCTGTGTACCAGGCGAGGTAGTCAACATCTCACCACCAATTTTAATTGTCACAGCACAGACAAAGCTACACCAAGTAGCCTCTAGAAGGATGTAGGGGCAAGTGCTGTTACACACAGACAAAGCTCCCCCAGGTAGCATCTAGCAGGGCTGTAGGGGCAAGTGCTGTTACACACACACAAAGCTCCCCCAGGTAGCCTCTAGCAGGGCTGTAGGGGCAAGTGCTGTTACACACAGACACAGCTCCCCCAGGTAGCCTCTAGCAGGGCTGTAGGGGCAAGTGCTGTTACACACAGACACAGCTCCCCCAGGTAGCCTCTAGCAGGGCTGTAGGGGCAAGTGCCGTTACACACAGACACAGCTACCCCAGGTAGCCTCTAGCAGGGCTGTAGGGGCAAGTGCCGTTACACACAGACACAGCTCCCCCAGGTAGCCTCTAGCAGGGCTGTAGGGGCAAGTGCTGTTACACACAGACAAAGCTCCCCCAGGTAGCCTCTAGCAGGGCTGTAGGGGCAAGTGCTGTTACACACACACAAAGCTCCCCCAGGTAGCCTCTAGCAGGGCTGTAGGGGCAAGTGCTGTTACACACAGACACAGCTCCCCCAGGTAGCCTCTAGCAGGGCTGTAGGGGCAAGTGCTGTTACACACAGACACAGCTCCCCCAGGTAGCCTCTAGCAGGGCTGTAGGGGCAAGTGCCGTTACACACAGACACAGCTACCCCAGGTAGCCTCTAGCAGGGCTGTAGGGGCAAGTGCCGTTACACACAGACACAGCTCCCCCAGGTAGCCTCTAGCAGGGCTGTAGGGGCAAGTGCTGTTACACACAGACAAAGCTCCCCCAGGTAGCCTCTAGCAGGGCTGTAGGGGCAAGTGCTGTTACACACACACAAAGCTCCCCCAGGTAGCCTCTAGCAGGGCTGTAGGGGCAAGTGCTGTTACACACAGACAAAGCCCCCCCCAGGTAGCCTCTAGCAGGGCTGTAGGGGCAAGTGCTGTTACACACACACAAAGCTCCCCCAGGTAGCCTCTAGCAGGGCTGTAGGGGCAAGTGCTGTTACACACACACAAAGCTCCCCCAGGTAGCCTCTAGCAGGGCTGTAGGGCAAGTGCTGTTAGTAGCGAGTAGCAGCAGCAGTGTCTATGTACTACACACACCACGCACAGACAAAGCTGCCCCGTGTAGCCTCTAGCAGGGCTGTAGGGCAAGTGCTGTCAGCAGCAGCGTCTATGAAGGCTACCGGCACTGTGGCTACACACACAGAGGGGGTGGGTGGCCAGCACCACCACGCCCGGCCGCCTTTGTCTCTCTCCCAGTGCTAGCGATGTTTTACTACACCACCACCACCACTACACCACCACCATCACCACTATACCACTACACCACCACCACCACCACCACTATACCACTACACCACCATCACCACTACACCACCACCATCACCACTATACCACTACACCACCACCACCACCATCACCACCATCACCACCACGACAACCACCACCACCATCATCACCATCACGATAACCACCACCATCACCACCATCACCACTACACCACCACCACCATCACCACCACCATCATCACGACAACCACCACCACCATCATCACCATCACGATAAACACCACCACCACCACTACACCACCATCACCACTATACCACTACACCACCATCACCACCATCACCATCACCACCATCACCACCACCATCACCACCATCACCACCATCACCATCACCACCATCACCACCATCACACCACCATCACCACCACCATCACCACCATCAAATTTCTGATTAGCGGCAGAGATTAAATCATCGGTTAAATCGGCAAACAGATTCATTACTACTGTCTTAATAAGTCTGTGTGTGTGTGTCTGTGTCTGTGTGTCTGTGTGTGTGTGTCTGTGTGTGTGTCTGTGTGTGTGTGTCTGTGTGTGTGTGTCCGTCTGTGTGTGTGTCTGTGTGTGTGTCTGTGTGTGTGTCTGTGTGTGTGTCTGTGTGTGTGTCTGTGTGTGGGCAGTTGAGGCAGTCGCCCTCCAACAACAACGGAGGGCGGAGGAGCGACGCTCACAACAACGAGCAGAGCACCGGGTGGCTAAAGCACAGAAAGTTGGTACAGTAGGGGGCACAGGTGGTGCATTCAGCCAGTCATCTCGGTCATCTCGGTCAGTCGACCCGTGGCACCTACTGGGTCTGCCCCGTGACCTCCTGCCAGCGGGCGTTCGACACTTCACGTGGCCTCAAGGTGCACATGGCCTGGCACAAGCGTCGTGGTGACGTCACCGCCACTTAGTGGCGAATGGCGGTTGTTGTTGTTGTGTGTATGTGTGTGTGTCTGTGTCTGTGTGTGTCTGTGTGTGTGTCTGTGTGTGTGTCTGTGTGTGTCTGTGTGTGTGTGTCTTGTGTGTGTGTGTCTGTGTGTCTAACAGCTTGGCTTTGGGTAGAGTTGCACCAAAACTCTGCAGCTTCATAGCTCGCCATGCTGCAGCTATCTTCATCTTGCCCTGGAAGAAAGCCTGCAAGAGGAGAGACCCCACAGAGACACAAAAACCACTGCACCATAGACTCATCACTGCACCATAGA